GATCAGAGGAAAAGACAACATTGTTTTGATCAGAGAAGAAGACAACAGCAGCTTCAGTCTGTCACTGAGACAGACCCAACACAGCAGACGATATCAAGGACATGTGAATACTTTATTCTTTACACATATTATAGTACTCTCCTTAGTTTGTAAGGTGTAGGCAGGGATTACATTTAGATTTTATATGCTCGTGTAAATGGTTTAAAAAATAAACCTCGTTTAATCTTAGAAGTGCATTACTATATTTTTCAAGACCAATTACTTGTTAAGGTTTTGTGCCTTTGTACAGTCAGTGGGATCAATTGCAATGCATATATGTGAATGCTTGTGGAGGCTCTCAGTCGTACATATATGTGAATGATAAAAGTAAATTGCACATTTGTCAAAGGAAATCTTAGGTGCTTCATGAAATGTTTTGTAAAAGATATGTTCATTAAATTTCAACATTTTCCAAGGGTTCTTGTGCATCTTTTGACCAAAACAAAGGAAAGACATATTATTTTGGTTATGTATAGCAGAGTATGGTATAATTTTTAATGGTCCAGCCCACTTGACATCTACCGACGCCATTTGTGGCATTTGTGGCCCACAATGTGAAATGAGTTTGACACCCCTGGCCAAGAAAGCAAAATGACAAAATGACACGATCTCTTTGTGCAACTCGTCTTCAATCGAAAACGAAGTTGGCTTTGCAAACTATCTCCTCATCTCAGGATGGCATTCTGAAGGCAGGCAGGAGGAAATACTGGCGTGGTCGATGGGTTATGGGTGAGGTTGGAGTGCCGTCACATCGCCCACGAGAGACGCCAACCATCTCACCAGTTATGTTCTTTTTTTTAACCTTCAAAACCTCGTGTGGTCGGCTGCCTTTGACTACATATAAAAATTTCGAAATTTTCGCAGCAGAATGGCCGAATGGTAAAAGACCTCGCGTGGTGATCAGGCAAACCGAGCTAGTAAGAAGTCTCATTTCAACGGTGATCAGGCGAACTGAGCTGGTAAGAAGTCTCATTTCAACAAGCCTCATTTCATTTTTCAGAGTTGAAGGAAGATTGTTCTTGGGTCCTCCGTGCCACAAGAGGGAGTCGCCTGCTCACCGCCCGAGTCCACCTACGAGCACAGACCTGCAGGCAACACTTTTTGCTCTTCTTCCTGTTATTCGCAAGGTGCTGAAGTCAAACTTTGGGCCAGCCTGAAAAGTAGGAGACATTTACACTCGTTCAATGCATGCTTTTGTGATTGTCTACTCTGCAAAAGAAATAAAGCTTGATTACAAAGAACACTTCAACTCAACTTCATTTTTAAACACATCACCACAATCTAACTTGAAAAATATATATATTTTTTAAAAACAAAATTATTTTCAGGTTTTTTCTAAACCTTTTTTCTGAATTTTTTTCAAACATTTTTTTGCCAAAATTTTTTTTTTCCAGGCAGAAAAATCCAGGAAAGTGGGTGTGGCCTGGCTCGAATGATGGCTGATGATTCACTGATAGTCAATGCAATGTACACACAATTAAATTTACATTCATATATTTGATCACTTATTCTTTGACATTTTAGGGGAAGCTGAGCTTCCCTTGCAGTCCGAGAGCAATCGCCACTGGCGTACCGGTACGTTGCAACAATCTAAGGCCATCATTATAATAGTTTATTCGCCAGTGCTTTGATGACCCCACCCAGTTATTGATTACAGACAATGTTAACTACAGTACACACCTCAAAAGTAGGCCAACACATTCTCTTATGTGATCCTGGTTGATTTCCCAGTTCTAATTTCAAAATGTTTTCCCCCGTGGGATCAAACCTTCATTAACGATACAGGCAACATTTTAAACTCCTCAGGCAATGTTTATCTCTTGTAACTGTAACATTCCTAACTGTCAGACTAGTCCAAATAGAAATTAACAACTGTGTGATAAAACTAAATTAAAATAAAAACTCCCAGACCCTACCCTGTATGTCACCGTGGAAATGGAACATTTCTGGATCTATCGTCCTTTGTGCCGTCATTGTTTTCCTTCAGTGGTGGCTTCACAGAAACAGAAGAAAGCCAAAGAAAAAGGAAAACACAGTGAAAAACAAATAGCACCACAATGTATTCCGAAATGAATGTTAGGCCTCCTGCACATATCTATAAGTGCTCTATGACAGTATTTACTGAACAAATTTTATGCTGACCAAATATGTTTGTATGGTGTAAAAAGACAATTTCGAGGAATCGGAAATTCAAGACAGGTTTCTTTTCCTTTGCAGTTGTTAGGTCATGGATGATAGATGATAGGCAAGTTCAAAAGAGGAAGAAGTGTCTGGCTTGTCCCAACATGTTTGACAAGATAATTAAATTACATTTCATCCTGCCCATCCCAGGCAGAAAAATGCATGGATGTATCAAACCAAAGTCCCTTTAGTAAAACATATTACGAATACATGTGAATCTGATTTTCATGAAAAAGAAATATTAATGTGATTTTGACTGCCTCTCTAAAAACAAATGCAATAATTACTCTGTCAACAAAAGCACTGACTCTCTCAGGTCACTTCGATATTATAAACTTGCTGTCCTGTCACATTTGAGGTTGTAGTGTGGGGGGTGGTCAGCCTCCACCACAGCAGCTAGCAGCTAATCTCCTAACACTACAAGCTAGGCTGCTGTTGCCGCTGCTCAGGTTTCATTTTGCTGCTCACTGACACTGAGCAGCTGCTTTTTTTTGGGGGAGATTAAAAGGCTGCTGCTTCTCAACTTTATGTATGTGCAAAGGCTAACAACAATTTTTAAATTGTGTTTTCTCATGAGGTTTCAATGTACTTGTAATTTCAAATCCTAGCCTAAATATTTTTATTTTGCTTGAGGCAAACAAAAAAAAAAGGCTTTCGTTATCCATCAATTTACGTCTTCCCATTGTTGTCATTGCACCTTCCTCTCAACTGATGAGGCCAAATGTTTTCATGCACACAAGTGTGCCCAAAGCAGATTAAGAATCTAAGACGATTTAATGAACTCATGATTGTAATCTAGGGTTAATTCATTTTGCTGCACTTTAACCACCTCCCCCACAACTGTTGTGGCCTCAAGCCAAACCGATCCTATGTGTACATGTGTGTTTTGGGGGCTGTGAGTGTGTGTGTATGTGTGTTGACTGTGCATCTGTTCATTAATTACTCTGAGGCGGGCACGCCACTAATCAGGCCCCCCACGATTATTTCTCAGTGCCCCCAGCACTGCAACAATCCCCTAAGCGAGCATGTTTTGACGACAGTAACCGTCACTCTTTTGTTGGCCTGCACACTCACTGTACACTTATTTTCTCAGTCAAGGCAGGTGGTCTGCTCAGTGAGGTCATATCGTCTGAAACATAAGTAGGAGGGGTGGGAGGGTGCGGGGGCTCATCCTCATGGTCAGTACTCGACACTAAAAACAATACTGAGGCTCCAGTGACTTTCTATTTCAGTTACTTGCTTTGTTTTTTTTTTTTTTTTTCAGTGTTTAGTGTTTAGTGATGTATATGTGATGTTTGCTCCATGTACAGTACTTTGTATACACCAGTGGTTGTTTTAAAGTGCTCTCTAAATACAGTTGAGTTTATTTATTTTTTAGTTAACTTGCAATTCTGATTAAGTAAAACTTTACATCAGAAAATGCTGACCAGTCTTATCAACAATGATTTAACAAAGCCAGAGACAGACAAATAAATGAATAAAATGACGTGCGCGCGTGTGATATTTTAAACAACTGTCAGAACTGTCCCTCTTGGAAGTAAAATGAAAATTTAACACATAATCTTTTGAATATTTTTACAAAATAAATTGGTTGTAACATTAGTCGTTTAAAATAATAATTAGAGCACGGGTGTAAATGATGCTTGAAGACACGATCGTTTGAATGTTTTGGAGAGGACTTTGTTGTCACCTAGTGGGCGATTTACTAAAGAGCAGGTGATACATATCGCAAAATAACTACATTTCCCATCTCAGTTGTAAGATTACCGGAAATGACGACACTCGTTTTCCGTTAGTGTCAAGGGCACCGGTAGGGATCTTTCGTTAGCTTAACTTTCAGTGCCTGCATTGCACGTGCGTTTTCCGTCGGCCGTTTCACAACTAAAATATTACACGACTCTCTTTTCCAGCAATGGACAGCTTCGGTTCAGACTTTTCAGCCGGTGGGGCAGGCGGTAAAATGGACACCGGCACGATTATGGAGCAGGTTAAAGTTCAAATCGCGGTGGCGAACGCACAGGAGCTGCTGCAGGTAAAAAGCAATAGAAGCTGCGGCTAAAACTAGCAATGCTTACCCATGACATCATAAAATGTCAAAACATAAAATAACCGCACTTTATTTGGTCTCTAAAGAACATTTCCCTGTTATTTTCGTCGGTGAATAGAAATGCGCTTGCTTCATTCCGTCGGTAAAACTGTCGCTACTACCAGTGTTGATGAGTAAGACTATGTAAAGGTAAAACTTGATGGTAGATTAACACAATGTTCTATTGTGTGGTGTTTCAGAGAATGACAGACAAATGCTTCAAAAAATGTATAGGGAAACCTGGAAGCACATTGGACAACTCAGAGCAGGTACGTTCACACATGCAAAGTTTATTCGGCGTTCAATTCATTTTTCACACTCTTTTCTACATAAAAACCTGACAATCATCATGATCCTATAAATACCTTTCTCTTTATTAATCTCTATCTTCCTGTTTTGACTTTACAGAAATGCATCGCCATGTGCATGGACCGGTATATGGATGCGTGGAATACTGTTTCCCGAACATATAATTCCAGATTACAGAAGGAAAGAGCTCGCATGTGAATGTGCATCCCTTACTACTCCTCTTTTCTTTCTTTCGTCCCTTGTTTGACCAATGCTTACCTAAGGAAGTCTGAGGTCACATGGTGTTCTCAGGTTCCTCATGGATGCTGCACAGCTACGACTTTCTTTTTTCCTCCCCACAATACCTCAAGCAGGCTGGCACAGCCTGTGGACTGCAGCCATAACAGTGTGGACAACATTCAATTCAGTAACAACAATTGTTATTATTATTATTATTTTTTTTAATGCAATGACAAACTGGTATTGTGCCAAAAAAAAAAGAAGTGTTGCCCTGGCCCTTTATGTGTCCCAATATCTAGAAGAAGGTTTGTGTGAGTGATAGGTAGCAATGATTGACACGAAATACTGTTCAGCGCAACCATATATTGAGGTTGACATTCACTTACGATCAAACTAATCTCCACTGTATTCGTGAGTCATGTATATAAACAAATTTTGGTTTCTTCAAATAAATAGGAATTATATCAGAAGACAAATGCCAGTCCTGTTATTTTGTACCAATGCAACAAATATTTTGGGAGTCCAAAACAGGTTTGATTTGGATCACATTCATTTTTGCAATAATTTGCCCAACCTCTTTTTCAATGTTACATTACTGTATTGCATCGTACTCGGTTGTACAGGTGTGCCTAAAATTGTGGCCGCAGTCAGTGTAGCCAAGGTAACTGCTGCATTGCTTAATATTCAAACCTGATTGTTTAGGAAGCACTGATGTTCGCGAGTCTCCAAATTCTGAGAACAAAACCAAGTTTTGTTCTACTCGCTGTCCAGCTGTCACACTATCTCCACCCTCCCCACAGTAGCCAGCTTGTTCCGGCAGGCACTACCATAAGACGCAGCGAGCACAGAAACTACATGCTGAGCACAGACGTCAAAGGGAACCAATGTCATTTTTTTTTTTCACTCTCGCCTGTAAAACTCTCACGGGTTGCCTCTGACCATAATGGTGCGATTTGGGAGTGCTTGTGAATACTGTACATTAAATTGTTTATCCGAACAACCAATAAATTGTCATCCATGTCATTTTCAAAAACAGGAACCTTATTTTAGCATGTTTGGATTCACATATGCTAATTACCTCCCAAGTCTGCGTTTCAACCAAATCGATGGTAAGCAAATCGTTGCAACATACAGAGTCAGCATGGGGCAGGCACCCATAAACAATGTCTGTCTCCTAGTGCACTGAAATCACACATAAAATGAGATCGCACATACACAGTGTCGATCAAATACGTTGAAATTACAGCAAAATTTTTTTGTTAATATATTGCATCGTCTGACGGTGGGAGCGGTTTGAAAGCAGATTGCTGTATAAATGTGGTGGAGCAGAATCATATAGCTAGGCTTGACAGGACTTTTTCTTTTGAGTAGTGTCTATTTTTTTTAGTTGAGGAGCAACTTTCTAATTTTGAGGAGCCGTTTTTTGCAGGTTAATCCCAGAGACCAGAAGCAAGGGTTTTGTTAAACAATAAATATATGATGATATAACTAATGAACAATTGATTTTCTTTTTGATACGATCAACAGTTTTTATTTCTTCAATTCACATTTTGCAAGTGTGTAGAAACTTTTCAAGTGGAGCAATTTCAAATACAAATATAAATTTCAGTTTTAACTTGGTATTTTTCAATGGATTGTATTGTCTTTCAGCAAAGTTATATTGATGTAGGGAAAAAAACTTTAAGGTGTACTGTAATATAATTTTGAGAACATTTCATGCGCAGACCTCAAAATCCAAACTCTGGACACTACTGAAAACAAAACTGACACCATAAATATTTTATAGTACATTAATATACCTTTGATATTGTAGGTCACCCCTGACGGATGCCGAAACATCATATAATTAATTTCTGGTCCTGTTTGGCTCTGTGTGGAGCATTGTTTTGTATCATTTTCTCCCAAAACACTTTAAACTGCCTGCTATTTTGATGTTCAAAGTTGGATGTGCTCTGCTTTAACGTGGCTCCAGCAGGACGTCTGTGAAAAGTGTACTCGGTCGCCCAAGCACTTCATTCCGGTGTTTTACAATTCTATGTATGTCATAGGTTAGCTCAGCAATTAGCATGGTGTCTCTGTTTTCTGTTATTATCCCTTCATGAGAACGACTCTTCAAATGAGTAGATGAGGAACATATTTGTTTTCAGCTATTTGAGGATCATACTAATTTCATAAAATTTAAGCTGCAAAGGGCAGCACAGTGAACGTTGGCCTCGCAGTTTGGTTTGTGTTTGAATAAATACATGCAATAAACACTAGTTTGCTTTCCCATTGCCTAGGAGCAATAGTTGCAGATTGCCCTTGTATCTTCAGTACATGTCGATAGAAAGGATAGCCCAGTAAAGTTGAGACGATTGCACAGTGTTACAAACAGCACCCATGACCACACGAGGCCACACAAGTCAATACTGCATTGACTGAGGTTGATGTCATGGCAAATAAGGTGACCTGATAAAGAACGTCATCATGTCCACTTGGCTCGGTGTTGGTTTTAGCTGCTGTATTTTTGCCTCACTCACTTCAGAAAGGCAGGTATGACGATATCCAATTCCGTACCGAAGTCACTCGAGTGTAAATCCCCGGAAACCCTACTCGGCCGCATCCATGTCCCCAGCTGGTTACCCCGGCGACAAACCACTGGCCGGAGCCCTCACGACAAGTCAGAGGACCCCCAGAGTCTCCCTGGATGAGGGAGAAGAGACAAGTGGGTTTTCTTACGTAGGATGATTAAATAGTGGACCCAGGTAAGTGTCATATTTCTGTATTCCTTGGAGAAAAAGCCCCCCAAAAAATTCAAGACAGAACCCTAAATTATTGTTAACCCTAAGTTATTGAGCGCATTCTTTTTGATTAAACACGAATAAATTGACGGATAGCGGCACTTTGCACATTTGGCTTTTTCGTATGCTCACAGCATAGGGTGATGAGAAGAAGCGATGGAGTTCTCTTACCAAACAAGTGTCCCTGCCTCCTTCCATGTAACCCGCACACATCATGTGAGGAGTCAAGTTGTCTCCGTATGACTGCCGGCAGTCCGCCTGCTCAATGGTGCTCACCGGTGCTTTTTGCAGCAGGTTGGTCAGTGAACCTACCAAGTGAGAAGCGTATGCGAGTGTCGTTTATACAGCAATGATATTGAAAAATAAATCAGTCCGAATTTTACCATTCTTGTGAGGGAACAGAAAATTGTGCAAAAAGTACTGCAACCTTGAACAGCAGAACGTGCATTCAAAAGTTTAGAGAATGTCAAATTAAGATCACCTGCAAAGGTTCTCGTGCATTTTAGGTTCATCCTGACATTTCACCTGAAATCTCAATATCCATAACTTTTTGTGTATTTGACATTTCGAACATTTTTAGGCACAGCAACAAATAAAAATGTTTAAAAAAAATAATTTTCAGACAATTACACAAAATTAATTTGCAAGATTTCTCGCAGCATACGTGATGATCATACAAATGTGCTGTGACACTTTAACTGGGAATCACTGAAGCGGTAGAAAAATGGGAGGTTATATGGATGGTTTAGACCAGTGAGACTAGATTTACTGCTTAAAAGGTTTTCTTACCGCCTTCCCTCATGGATCCCCATCCTGAGATGTAGCACTCAGCGTCTTCCAAGAAGCGGTGTGCTGGTGACGGGAGACAGACGGATTGGATGGTGTGAGACATGGGGGCCGGGATGAGCAGCTCCAGCAGCGCCACATCGTGGTCCATGCTGGTGCCGTTGAAAGCTGGGTGGATGACGACCCGCTGGATGGGAATGACCACGGCTCCCACACCGGAACGCAGTACAGAGCCGAGGCTCACTGCCCAGTGGGTGGGGCTGGGATCACTGTGGGTGGGAGTTCAAGTTAGTCAAACTGTATACCTACACCATTGGGAACACCTGAACAATCGAATTTAAAAAAAAAAAAAGTACAGACGTCCATGTACAGTATATCTGTCTGTCTGTCTGTCTGTCTTACACTGCCCCCAGGTGGCTAACGTGGGTAACAGCACAATGGTCAATCAATCGATTAAAAATGGGACAAAACAGTTTTTAATTCTAGTTAATTGTTTCGTTCATGTATGTTTTTAATAAAGTACAGTACCACAGAGTGCTATTTAAAAATGCATGACAAAATATTTTGCAGTTTGTTTTTGGAAGCTGGAATAGATTTATGTTACTGTATTTCCATTTATTTCTTTGAGAAAAAGGTTAGTGAGATGTGAGATAAGAGCGATTTTAGGTAGTCATGGAATAAATTAAACTTGTATCTCAAGGCACCACTGTATGTTTATTAGGGCCGGACTGATTAATTGAAGATGTGTGTGTGTGTGTGTGTGTGTGTGTGTGTGTGTGTGTGTGTGTGTGTGTGTGTGCCCCCTTATTTTCGTGCAAGGTAGTATGCCCCTTTCACACCTTTTGAAGCAGTGCGCGGCAGTCAGTAACCATTTGCTGTGCACGAGAGTGGCGCCACAATGGTGGAGCCTCTGGAATTGAAGGCTGCCGATCCAAGGCCATTCCCCCCTGCGAGCCGTGACACCACCCACAATCCGATTGCCGCCCAACGCGGGACGCACACCGCAGTCTGAAAAGGCAAATTAAACTACCTTCAGATGCTTCAATACAATTGATACTTGATTTGAAATATTTAAACGAACCGCAATTTCTTTCGTCAGCCTGGTTGGGGCAGTCAGGGACTCCGTCACATTCTGGATTTAACTTGTTGATACAGGAGGTGGCGCTGCACTGGAAGTTTCCACTGCAGTTTGAGACTAGAAGACATGATGGGAGTGTGTTTTGAAACAAAACAAAAAACAATTTAACATTTACAATTGATCATTTGGACAATACCAGGAGGTGCTGGGGCAGATTCGACATCCATGGCGACTGTCTTGGGAAATGGAAAATTAGAAGCACTCGCGCCTGGAGCGGTGACCGGCAAAATGAGCTCATGGTTGGGGTAGTAATGCTTCGAGCTGGGGTCTACGTGACTCAGAATCCAGCTGCGGAGCTTGGTGACCCGCGAGTAAACACCAGGCCTGTAGATCTGGGCACAGCCTATGCCCCAACTTACCACCCCTGCCAGGAAGAACCTCCCTGGAGCCCCCTCGCACACCAAAGGGCCCCCGGAATCACCCTGGAAATAAAAAACACGAAGTCATAGTCCAGTTTCAGCTATGCAAAAGAAGGGTCTGAAAAGTACGCGGTAATTATTGATCTGACAAATAGGGAAGCGATAGATGTCACAGGACTATTACAAACTGTGCCTCAAGAAAAGAAAGGGCCGTTATCTCACGCTATTGTGGCGACCAGAAGCAGCACTGACCTGACAGGAGTCCACCTTGCCCTGCAGGAATCCAGCACACATCATGTTGGAAGTGATTGAGCCTCTGTATACAGGCAGTTTACTGCACACCTTGGAGTCGATGATTTTCACCAAGGCCTTTTGCAGTGTGGAAGGCATCTCAGCTGAAAGACAGTTGAACTTGAGTGTGTTCACTATTCTCAACTCAACTCTACCACACGCATTCGCCACAATGTGAGGTAGCCCGCACAATCTAAAGAAACCAAATAGAGCTGCATCTACTTTTAGGGTCATAATACTGTTTATCGAAATTGTAGTTTAAGGTAATTCAAAACTGCACTGCATCATCGGGATGAGGGATGTTTGTAATATTTTGGATGGGTGATTTAGTAGCATGAGAGTCAGTGGTATGCAAACAAAATGTGTACGAGATGAAAAGACCAAAGTTTCAGCAATATTTTTTGATTGACGTTCTTTTTGTTTTTTGTTTTTTTTTTTACTTGAAAGTGAACATATAAAATGTTCATCATTGATCTTAAAGAAAATTGTCGAAAATAGCCATTGAACATATGTTAATTTAAAATATGCATTTGCTTGAAGTCCATAGGAACTTATGTCATGTTAGCCATGGCCCTGAGCCTCAAATGCCTGTTTTTAACTTTCTTAAATTGAAAATTCAAGATTAAACTGAATTACAAAAAATAAAGCATTGGTTGATCATGAAACTTCCCGAAATGTGGACATAGTTCCAACAGCAACTGGAAAATCCGTTCATAAACATTCAAACCAAATCTGAAAATCAAAATTCCTCACTGGTCAGAATCATCATTCTGGTATATGAAACCAAATCGCCAGGGGGCGCATTTTTCATTGGCCCAATTTTTGCACGTGACGTGTGACACCGAACCCCATATTGACATGTAGCCACAAGCTACCATGTTTGCTCTAATTCAAAATTATCTGAAAACAGAACAATGACTGATGTCTGACAAGATGTCTTCATTTCCCCTCTGACAAGTCCACTTGTATCACTACTCAGATTTTTATCTGGAAGAAGCTTGTTTTAAAAAAGATGCAGTTAACATGTTTTACTTTGGGTTGTGCAAAAATTGGTTCATATGCACCAGACATGGTAAGCCTGAACGCTTGAATGCAAGTTGACATAACACAATCAAGATGGAGTTGAATTTAGCCCCTGCTGTACTATTTACGCTATTTGTGTGGCAGGGCTGCACCCCTGCTGCGTGACTCACAACTAAACTGGTGCAGAGATCCCCATCCTGACACCACGCATTTCTGGCCGGGAGCAAAGACGTGAGATGGTGCAGGGAGACAGGCAGGTTGGACGTAGGGACCGAAGGTGAGAGGACTCTCCAGCTCCAGCACGGCCACATCAACGTCGGTGGTCGTGGGGTTGTAGTCTGGAGACACTGCCAGTGTTTTGATGTTGATTGTTTTGGACTCAGACTCTTCCCCGCTCACCAAACTGGCCCCCACCAGGGCTGTCCACTCTTTGGGGTTGTTGGCGCTAAAAATGGGAAACAAAGCAGAATGTAAGGCATGGCTGAACATCGTGTACAACTACTGTACATTGTGTTCATCAAGGATGTCAGCAGTGGGCAGACTTTTGTTTTAAGGGTCACATTTGAATTCTAAAAGGGAAACTTTGTATTGTAGATGAGGTTTAAAAAAAAAAGTGTAACTTTCTGCAAAATATGCCAAATATTGAATTTTCGTCATTCTCATTTTTAATTGCATTGTCTCTAATTCACATAATCATAAGCAATTAACCAATGATTTAACAAAACAAGTTTTGGTGTACATTATTTCGAAATATTTGTTAAAATGTACTATTGCAGCAAATAAAAATTGAAGTTGGAAAATTAATGAATATTTTTCAAGTGGCTATATGGTCAAAAGTATTGAGACATACTCAATTGTTTAATTGAAGAGGGAGTCTTCAAAAAACATTTTGTCAAATTTGTAAAAACTATCATGACTTGAGTGTAGGCTAAATATGATCTTTGAAAAAAAAAAATCTGCCATCTCTGACACTAGCTAGATGAGAGTCGCTCAGGGAGATAGGGATGGCTGATTCTTCCATTGAACCTTTTTGTGACGTACTACAGTAAAGTCATTGCAATTACAAACTACCCCTTTAATTAACAAGGACTTTGGTGAGGTCGCTTAAGTCCCCTGAATCTCAAAAACCTTCATTTTTCCAAGACATTGTACTATTTTATGCTTCCAACTTCATGAAAACAGTTTGGAGAATGACTTGAATGTACCCCATGACATAAAGCAAAAGAGTTTTGGTGTGGAGGGGTGTCGACAATGGGCAACTGCTCAAAAAAATCCATTTTTAACTCTTTACTTTGGTGTTCAAGTACATTTCAGAGTCGCTACTTTCTTTTATTTAAAAGTACGTAAAGTAGATGCATCACCTACGTTTCAAAGCAGTGCGCGGCACTGACCAGCCACCTTTCGTTGATAATGGAGGCTCCACAAGTGTGCTGCCCATGCAGCCTGAGACTGACCTGCCACGGCAGCTCTCCTTGTCGGGCATCTTCACCGCCCACGATACGATTCCCCGTGGCGCTACGTGTGCCACAGGCTGTGGGGGAGAGAAACGGATCAGATCAAGGGTGGCATCAACACAAACGACAAGGTGGAAAGCAAAGGGGTCGTTTACCACAACGAGCTTCATCAGATCCATCTGCACAGTCTGATACAAAGTCACACTCGGGGTTTAATTTGGTGATGCATTCGCCGTTGTCACAGGTAAAGGCGCTCTCGGGGCAACTCTCTAAGAGAGTGAGAAGACAGAGTTTGATGGATCCGGGTATACACACTCACCGTTTAATCAGTGAAGGAATCAATCAGGGTTGGTTTTATGTCTTACAGGAAATGATAAAATCCATCAGCATGAAACCCATGCCTTGAGATTTATTTCTATCTATCTATCAATGATTATTGCTTTATTGTTGTGTATATGTTAGTTGCTCCATGTACAGCGCTTTGTGTGCAGCAATGGCTGTTTGAAAGTGCTCTATAAATACAGTTGAGAGAGAGAGAGAGAGAGAGGGAGAGAGAGAGAGAGAGAGAGAGAGAGAGAGAGAGAGATTCCTTTGCTGACATATTGGTCGAACAAGTCAGCTATGTGTATGTATTTATTCACAGAAATATGAATATCACACGGGTGACATGTATTTCAAGTATGATACACTCACCCTCACCCAGCGTATCATCTCCAATATTGTAAAATGACTTCCCACTGGCACCTGGGTAGAAAGTACAAGGATTCAATCCACGTGAAATGTGTCCGAGATAATGCTTAGCTGAGGTCTGTTTCATAGAGCTAACAGATGACTATTGTGTCCAACCCAGTAAGACGATAGCATTGATGTGTCCAAACTGGGGAACCTCCAGCGGATTGCCGTGCATCACCGAGGTGAGCCCCGCCCTCAGCAGGTCCTGAATGAAGTTTTCCGAATACTGTTGAAATTTGGAAACCGCGAAGACCAGCCTGAATGTTGCCATCACATCACCATTCATGTTGCTGAAGGAGAAAAAAAGGGAAAAAGGCACCAATTCCATCTCTCCAAAAAAAAATGATAAAAGGTGAATTTGCTTATCTGATGAACATACCCAAAAGCAATAATATTACAGTCGACGTAGTGATGCGATATGGATGAGGAAGCGAAAACATTTTTGATCTGTGAAAGAAAATACGAGCAATTTCGCATGAATGATCAGATGACTTGAGATGAGATGAACCGTATTGTGGCGAAAGCCTGCCCGATACCTTTGATTTTAGTACAGATGTCAGTACTAAGGAGAAGCCCGAGTTTGGATCCTGTAGAGACGGATCATGCTTGAGACCCTTCAGCTCAACTGTCTCCATGAAGTCATGCTGCTCCTGTATCAGGTACGCTGCATTCACATGCACACAGAGAGGACAAGAAATGTGCGAAAAATATTGCAAAATGATATCTATGTACAGTATTTGATGTCGGGATTGAAGAAAACCATCACCGATAAGCAGTCCTACAAAGACTCCAGCTCCGAGGAAGAAGAGGAGGCCGAATATGAGAGTGCCCCTGTAGCAGGTGGGGCTGGAGGGAGCGGGTGAGGGTCCCGGAGTGGACCACGTGCCTCCTCCATCATTCGTCATCTCCTTGTTGGATTTACAACACTGGGCTATTCACATGGCGGGTGAAATCCAAAGTTGGAAATGTTCAACGCCTGAAGTTTCTGAAATTGTTATACTGTCACTTATTGTACATTCACTGGCCACAACATTAGGTACCTGTACACTTGTTGTGGGTGCAGTTTGAAGAATTGAACTGCATTGTATTTAGAACTGTTTTTAATACTTAGCTTGCTCAAAAAAGTTCTTGGGTGCCTTAAAGCAGTGGTTCTCAAACTGGGGTATTAACAAAAGTGGCCCGAAAGCTATAGCTTCGGAGTTCGCAAAATTACACTGGGCAGTATGTATGGATGTATTCTTTGATACACTTGCCTTTATTTGTGTCTTTATTTTATTTTTTTAACTTTTTTCTAGCACATCAAGTTTTTGAGATATTTTCATTTTTTTATTTTGAAATTTGACCTACAAAAGCTTGCGCAACACAGGTTTTATCATGCATTGAAATGTATGGCTATCACTTCAGAAAAAAAATTCCACCTATTTCTGCCCCTAACCCTTAATTCATAAATATATTATTATTATTTCACATTATTTTTATTGAAAGGTGATGTGCTAGAAAAAAATAATTGATACCGAATCAGCGCGGGAATTTCATCTAGAAAAGTTTACGGTACTTATATCTCAGATTTTTTAAAAAATGTAAAAAAAAATTGTTGACCTGTGTTATTGAAAAAAATATCTGATATAATTTCATAAACAGGCCTACATGTTCTGATGCTTCTTGAAACGTTGCCTTATAAAATTCTAAAAATATAAAACATAAAATAAACTTGCTGTAATGTCCTGCATTTCAGTGTGAACAGGAAGACAAGAAATACACGGCTGCACACAGTTACACTCTATGGATGTCCTCCGATGTTTTGCATGAATAAGCAACAAAAGTGTCTATATTCATGAGTATAATGTATAAAATATAACATTCATATCAGGTTAAAAAAGAATGTAAATCTCCTGTCAATTTACAATTTACACTGTACATTTTGAGGTCAGAACACCACCACATCAGAAAAATGGCGTGGGTTGGATAAAAAAAAAAAAAAAAACAAAAAAAAAAAAAAAAACAAAAAAAAAAAAAAAAACAAAAAAAAAAAAAAAAAGAAGAAAAAAATCGTCAAATGAAGCATGCAGCATGACAACTTTACGGATGTGTCAAAAAAATATCACAGTCGAGTAGCATACTCACTCACCCGCTTGCTCCCTCAGTCCATGACCACAAGACATTCACAACATCCTGCACGGCAAGAAATGAGTGAACAGTGAAAGGTCGGCAAGACGCGGCTATTTGTTCCACCTGAGCAGAGGGCGTGTCCCACAGGTAACTCACCTTTTTCCATTTACTCGAGCAAACCGATGCTTCATCCCAAATCCCTTTTACGCCCTCCTCCCATCGGCACAGATCCCTCTCTGGGTTTAAATGTGTGTTTTGTTCAAAGTCACACCCTGCATTATCTGCAGGGGGGGAAAAATACTCATGTCAACTGCTATAAGGATAACTTAAAGCTGCTCTGAAGAGTCTCCTTGTTCTCCCTGTGCATGCAAACCTGCACCTATGTGCTCCATGGACACGCTGACTGGACAAAGAGGAGGAGCTAAGAAGGCAGGAATTCTTTTTCCATGCAGGATCACATCGCCAGGAAAAGTCCACAGTGCCCAAATTGTTTAATCTGTTCACACATTGCTTTGTATTAAATGTACAGTCCCAACAAGAGTATCGGGTTGCAAGCAGAGTTGCACCCAACTGCCAACATTTTGCTCAAAGCGGGTTCAACCCAAAAGGTGTCTTTGCTGGTGTGCACACAGGCTCATCTCACACGCAGCCAAGTAAACATAAAGTGGGAAATGTTTGAAAAAGAGGATGGAGCTGCTGCCCATAAGAACAAAGCTGTTTCCACTTGAGGATTGACTTGAGTACATAGTCGGATTATAATAATTTCGGATTTTTCATGAGAGTTAGTTTTTACTTCGTTTTGACTTTTGTTTTTCAGTTCGATTATTATAGTTTTTAGAGCAGGTTTGTTAGTTTTGATTTTTCAAACATGCTTTATTTTAGCTTTTATATTAATTTGAATTTTCTTTAATATATGGAGTAATTTTTGATGTGCAAGATAAAAAAGTCACAAAATAATGTGGAATAAACTAAAATTGTCAATGACATTTGACCTCATATTTACGATTATTATAAATATATAAATAATAGTATTAGTTAAATGAGCAGTCATACATTGAAATAAAAAAATGTTTGTTTTCTATGGTAAATTGTTAATTTATTGTAAATAGTAAAATACACAATCCTACGTAGATTACCATTTCTTTTAATTTTTGATCACCCAATTGGTTTTTAATGGCTGTAATTTTGAATAAAATTAAAGCAGAATGAATCATTTGAGGAGGCACGGTGGACAACTGGTTATCACTTTGGCCTCACAGTGCAGAGGTGCAGGGTTCGATTCCGGCTCCGGCCTTCCTGTGTGGAGTTTGGATGTTTTCCCCGTTCCTGCATAGGTTATTTCCGGGTCCTCCGGTTTGCTCCCACATTCCAAAAACATGTGTGGCAGGTTAATGGAACACTCAAAATTGGCCCAAGGTGTGATTGTGAGTGCAGATGGTTGTTGGTCAGCTGGGATTGGCTCCAAAATGCCCGCGACCCTCGTGTGAACAAGCGGACTAGAAAATGGATGGATGAATAATTATTGAAATAAAGTAGTTTACACTTTTTTTTTTACTTCATCTAAGAATGAGCAGGCTCAATTAGAATTTTTTTAAAAATCAAATAGGGCCTTCGAGCATATTTTTGCCCATCCCCGTATTAATGAATCTTTTTCAGTTCCACTTCATGAATTGAACTACTGAAACAAATGATCTTGCTTTCTAATATATTGAGATGTACCTTAAAGTGCGGCCCTAAGTCTGAGTGGAATCCAGTACAATAGCTGCATCCAAATTTTCTCCTTTAACAAGCACATTGAACTGCACTGAATGAGATTGAGGTGTTTGTGTTCACAATAATAGGGTGAATTGTACCGTAATTTATACTCGGAGGGGCAAGATATCACAAAAGTATGCTGTGGAGTTTGAAAACTACATTTACAAATATCCTACACAACCTGTAGAAATTCACTTCTAGAACAATTTATTTGAATTTAAAAAAATAAAATCTGTTCAGTACATTACAACAGGACTGGACGTGTAACTGTTGTCAAGCCTCACTGTAATATTAAAAGTTAATATTAAATTAAATCAAAGTACAAAACTCAAAATAGCTTTATTTTATTTTATTTATTTTTTACCAAAAACAAGCACAAATGGTAATGGGATAATTAATTCTTGACAATGAAAACACCGGCATTTTCCAAGCCTCAACTAAAATTTACACAGGGCAAAGTGAACTGCTTGCAAGTTTTTTAAGCTGACTAACTTATATATGTTAAAAAAAACAACAAAAAAAGGGACAGCTACTAAGATTCTAAAATGGAAAACATAAAAAATACTTTCAAAATATCCTCATGTGCACTTATATACACACACAACAAGTGCTGTCTTAGCCATCCTGCTGCTGTATGAAAGGATTGGGAATAGCCTCCATGCCATCCTGTGGACAAATGAGCACCACTGAGGTCCCCCTGCAGACCACCAGCCCCAATTGCCTGGTGTCTTCTGTCAGTTTGAGCTGGTCATCAGGATCTGGACACAGGCCCAAAATGCAGGTTTTAAAAATACCCCCAAACAAAACAATTTTTCCTCAGATCTCCGTTTCAACAGCCTGATTATTAATATTGTATATTTAGTTTAGATACAACGGTGTCAGATAAGCGTAGCTTTTGTTTAATGTTTCGCGACCTTTATAGAGCCAAGACACATTTTATTTTACAAAAATCTCTCGGGAGGTGTCCCAAATACTACGGGCAATCGGGGTGTATAGCATGAAAACAAGGTTGTAAAATCTGGGAAAAAGACAAAAATCTACATCACTTACCACGCATATACTCAATGGTACCGTCCAATACAAGGTTTAATAATGGGTCGAACCCTTTAAGGACCCCGCTAGCTGAAATGGAAAGCACACTTATAAATCCACATTTATATTGTGACAACAAAACCATGATGATACACACCTTCTCGTCCTCCTTGAAACTTAACCCGAATCGGCTTGTCGATGTATTTAGACAAGTCAAAGATACTCTCCTTCTTCTTCTTGTCTTTGTCCTAACAAGCACAGTGGAATGTTGTTATTTAGGAGGGTGCAAAAACGTTCCGCACACAACTTTTTGATGATTTAGCAGCGGGCTAGTTGTAGTCGGCAAATGAATTAGCAGCCTGCAAAATGACTACGATCCAACAAAAAGCGCTTTATAGGCATCGGAAATGATAGCGAGAGGCAACACGGTGCCGTTTATGAATGTTTATGTGAACACTGATGATATGAAGTGTATAAAATCCAAATGAAAACGCAAACCGCGCGAACTCACCGCCATGTTGGCTTCGGAATCCGGAAAGGAAACTTTGACCTCAATGGTGCTCCGCCAATCAAATTTCTCTGCACACAAAATGGAGGGACTGACGTCAGAGTTTGAATTCAGCGTTCTTTTTTTCCTTTTCTTTTCTGTATTTCTTTCTTTCTTTTCAAAATTTAATACTGTACTGTTTGAGGTTAAAAAGAAGACTGTACGCAGTGTTGTATAATATTATTCCTGGATAAAAATTATAACTCCAAAGAACAACAAACCACACTAAGTTACAGAAAGACAACAATTCACACTCACATTCACGTATAAGGACAAATTAGCTGGACAATTTAGACTCTCAATCAACCTAACATGTATGTGTTTGGACAGTGGGAGGAAGTTGGAGAAACCTGAGAACTGTGAAGCAGGCATGCGGCCTCTTTTCTCTGAATTAACATGCACATTCTGAATACTGTACTGAATTAAATAATTTGAATCGATTATTTATTTGTTCAACGGTGTACCTCAATGCACATTTCAATCGTTATAGTGTTGAAAGTAATGCTGCAGCCATTGTCCGTAGGCTTGTGCAAAATATATGAGACATTTCCGAAATAAAATGACACACAAGACTACTTTTAATATTGAGGATTTGTTTTCACTTCTCCATGTTGCACTGGACTGAGGGACACAAGGGATCTATTAATATCACCAGTTGGTGGGCTGTAATCCAAAAGGTCATTAAGCTCTGTGCGGAAGACGGTTGCTTGTTGTGATATGGCCTGTCAAGCAAACAACATTCACGCTGAGCGGATAAACCAACTCGAGGAAGATGACACTATTTTCCAGCCTGACGTCATGCTACAAGTAGATGGAGAGTCTTTTTACGTCAGCCGTCCTCAGCTTGCGCTTCAGAGCCCCTACTTCCGGGCTCTCTTTTTTGGCTGCGGTGTTGAAAGCACAAAAAGGAGAATAGAGCTCAGAGGGGTTCGCTTGCAGCATTTCAAGGCGTTAATGCACCATAGCCGGACTTCCATTCTCACTCTGGACAGAGAAAATGTTTTGGGGATCCTTGAGACCGCAGATTTTCTCCAGCTGGAGCGAGCCAAACTGCTGTGCTGCAAATTCCTCGAACGTGAGCTCCACCTCTGCAATTGTTTGGGAATGATGGCTTTTGCCTGGCAGCGAGGCTGCGCTCAGCTCTACAGTGCAGCAAGGCAGGTAGCCCTCACTCACTTCTCTGCTGTTGTCTCTGAAGAGGACTTCCTGTCCTTGTCTAAGGAGACTGTGGCAAACCTACTCGCCAGCGACGACCTGGCCATCCAGAGAGAGGATTTGGTGCTGGAGGCGGTCTTACGCTGGGTGTCCTTTGACAACAAAAGAGAGGAACACTTTCTTGAGCTCATTGAGCTGGTGAGACCTGAGTCTCTGTCGTTGACATTCATCTCTAAACTTTTGGATACAATGACAAACAGTTCTGACACGACAGCCAAACTGATCCGCATGCTGAATGATCATTTTCCAAAGTCCTGGTCGATTGGGAGGTCCCTCCAAAGGATCAAGCAAAGTCTCTTCGTTGTGGGAGGACCTCATGATCAGGAACAGCAGGCATCCTACCAGTTTCATCCACTCAGTGGGAGATGGCAAAATTGTGCACCTCTGCAGAGGAAGAACCTCACGCAGTACTCAGTAGCAGCAGTAGGTAATGGATATTGATTGACCACAAGATTAGATAGACTTGCACAATCTAATAAGGCTTGCCACCTTTGTAAAGCTAATGATTCATGACACTTTATTCTATATATCCATGTTTCGTATTTGATGTCACAACAGCAGGGCACACACATACTGATTTTATCGTCTTAGTCAATATTTCAATGTGTCAGACCCCTCACACGTTGAGGGAAATATTACCATTTTAGAGTCAGGTCAACTCAGTTCTGTTTGTGTGGTGCTAATTCACAATTGAGGTTACCTCTAGGAACTCTACAGATCGATCAGATCAAGAATCACATTCCTCATACATAAAATATGGAAAAAAACAGCATAAGTCCTCATGAGCAGGCACATGGATGTGAGGAACAGCTCTTGCGAAGTAAGAAACTACATGCACTAAGGGTAAATAGAGGGAGAAAACAGGAAATTGGAGGGGCGGGGGTGTTGTGCGGTGGCGTCGAGACGACAATGGGCACAACAGCCGTATCATCAATTGTCCCATAATAATGGCAGCAACAATGATATTGGTCCACTGCCAACACCACTGTCCCGTTGTCTTGCCACTGCAGCTGACAAAGGAGATACATTTGAAGCAGACAGCACCACCCACAGGGGAGAGACAAAAAGACAAAAACAGTAAAAAACGAGTTAGAAACATCCTACAATACATGGATGGTGATGAAGTGAAAAAAGGAAGGGATGCTAGTAAGTGGTTCGTGTACTGGTGAAAACCATGCCGGAAAATACAAATTAGAAAAATTGTTATTGTAGAAGAAGCAAGGCCAACTGTTAGCCTATCAGCTAACTACATATGGCAGCAAACGCTTGCCCTTGTCATTATTGTTGTGGTGAAAGACTTGGAGGAGACGTTATTTAAAAAAATAAAACAACCATTTGCTCCTGTATTTAACAGCACAAGCTTCAAGTCATTTCCTAATTGGCTCTCATACCATCACAATCACTGAGTCCATGGCTGGGTTGAACTTGGTGTTGGCCAAAAATAACCATTTGTGAACAGGTTTAACGTTTATGATTGTCAGATCTGGTTGATCTCTTTCGGAGCAGGTCCAGGAAGAACACCCCACACCGTATGATAACAGACCAGGATAATCATTTCGAGACATCTGATAATTGGGCCTGTGCTAACCACAACGGAGATAAAAGTCTAACATTTCTGCATTTTTGTCAGTAGGTGTGTACACCACTTTTATTGGGAATTGCCATGACATTTTTATGTCTTTCCTCATTATGTGTAGGAGACAGTGTGGTTGTGACAGGGGGCTACTTCCGTGACGTGCTGTGGTTCAGCGTGGACTGGGTCAGAAGATACGAATGTGGGAGCCAGCGGTGGATGGATGGCCCTGCTTTGCAGAAGTCCAGGCACAGCCACTGCTCCATTGCGCTGGATTCCGTCCTGTATGTCTTGGGGGGCAGCATGGACGAGGGGCTGGTGGCTGATGTTGAAAGACTGATCCTGGGGTCAGACGGGGGTTGGGAAAATGTCAGCCCCATGAGTAGGGCGGTGGAAAGGGCAGCCGTAGCCGCTCTGGGCCAGTGTATTTATGTCGCGTGTGGTCTTGATGAAAATGGAGAGGCGTTTGGGGGAATACAGCGGTATCACACCAGAGAGAATCATTGGGATGTCATCTCCTATTCTCCTTTTCCACGGTGAGTCCATTTACAACTTTTGGCCTTTTTGACGATAATGACTTGCCGGATAATTTGCACCGTTCCTTAGATATGACCTGGTTGCCACGGAGCTCAATGGTGCCATCTATCTGTTTGGAGGCCAAGCTTTGCGCTTTGACGTGGAGACAGACGAGTGGACTGTTCTGCAGGAGGAATTTCTGGAGAAAAAGTTCTTCTGCGGCTGCACCACAGTCAATGGCCAGATATTCCTGTTGTGTGAGAAAAAGAGTAACAAAGCACTCCCCAATATGGTTTGGTTTGACCCTTACGTGGACACTTGCATCAAGGTGGACAATGCAATACCATGTCCTGTTCCACTCAGAGGGTGTGTCACCATGCAAGTACTTACATGAAAGTGTGTGAGGTTGACATAAATATGTTGACTGACATTAAAGCACACCAGGGAGGGGCAATTAAAATGCTGGGCCACAATATTTCATCAGTGCGACAGGGGCTTCACTATACACCTACAAAAATACATGCTCTTGTTATATTCCCTTTTTGATAATACATTTTTCTATGCACGCATGAAAAATCCATGATCCGAACCCAACAGCAAAAAGTTTGAAGCAAACATCAAAATAATCACATACCGCTACTGTATTTTGTTTTTGTTCAAGAACACGACAAACCTGAAGAAACCAATATTAACTGCAAGAACTCATTTTGTCAAATTTTTTTCCCCACAAAAATAGACTCAACATTTCAATATTATTGAAGTACTATGTTCGTCCTGAATATAATTCCAAATCCGACCAAAAATGACTGACTGACAATGTTAGTGCACCCAACCCATCTCTGCCATCTAGTGGTGCTTGGTGATAATACAACTTAAAAAATAGAGTTGACCCCTGCATTTCTTTTTTGTTAAGCAGTCAAAGGGCCACTCAGAGTGCGGGGCCGCGAGTTGCCTGTTGCCTGCTCTCAAGTTCCTGGCCTAAGAAAGCAAATTTTCATCAAATGATGACGTGTGAAAATACGACAGGAGTCTTTGCAGGGAGGGTTTGAGCCACTTTTAATGAAAAACAAAAATTACTGGAGGTTGATGGTTCAGCCCTTTTAGTGCTCCATATTGTTGTCCACCACTTTGCTCTAGCACACTTGTCTTTTGTGTGAGTATATCCCTGTGTTATACTGCCGGTAACCACAAATTCATACTCATGAATTTACTGCTTTCAAACAGTATTTTGCTCTTCAAGAGTCCGCATTTCCCTTTGCAGACCGAAGAGTCCATTTTAAGTAATGCCCATTGGTGCATACAGTGCTCAGGTGGATTCACCAAATGTTTAAGCGAGACACGACCTCCAGTGTTTAAAGGTAATCCTACGTGTCACAGGGTAGTGTAAAAACAGTAAGGCTAAGGCACAAAACAAAAGTGCTGTACAGAAAACCGCAACAAAAAAAAATGTCACATGATTTAGTAGAAAAGAATAGCAAAGCCAATAGGAGCATGTATTCGTCAAAGGCATCAATATTTTGGATATGGGGAGGGAATTATATACAGGGATCTGTTCATCGGCCACCCGAGGCTTTATATCTCTGTTGTGGTATTTTGAGACATCACGCGATCACGTGCAGAAAAAAAAAAATCTCTTGAACCGTGTGACATGATGTTCCCACACATTTGTACAAAGGAGGGTCACCCTGAAAAGAAGTTGCATTGCTGGAAAATTAGCTTGACTCCTCAATGTGTTAACAAATGGGCAAAAAGAGCCGATGAAAAAAAATGGTCGCTGAAGTGATTAAACAACAAATTTACCAATGAAATACCTCTGAACAGTCAGCCTATGATGATGGTAACTTGTTCAAAACCTTTATGCCATACACATTCTTTTGGGGGGAAATTTGACTTTGACAACAACAAAAACAAGAAAGGTGTTTTCCACACAGGTGATTCCCAACCAGGGCACTGTGACACAGTAGTGTTCTGTTAGAGATTGTCAGGGGTGCCGCGGGTAATGATCCACTTTCACTGATTTGTCCAAAAATGATTCTATATTAATTCGGAACAAATTTTTGTTTCTTTCTATTTTGGTGACGTACAGTGACAGGCAGAACAATTAAACGCTCTTCCAGCAGATGTCAGAAGGTACAATAAACCTACCGGTACTTGTTGCCATTCATAAGGCATGACTTCCAGCAAATGTATCAGCTTTCCGGATTTTACACCGAGTATGTAAATTTGTGAGTAAATTGAGAGGCGATCATAATCTCAGTATTCACACTGTTTGTGGCATTTTGTTTGCTGGCGTGTTGTGAGATTTTTGGAATGTAAAAATGGGAGGCTTTGGCTCAATTAGGGTTGGGAAACAGCGTTCTAAACCTTCAATTAAAATATCTCATTTACAAAACACTGAGGAGAAACGTTATAAATACAAAATGAAAACAAGGTTGGCATCACAAAAGTGATGGCGTTTTCTTCCAATGTGACACCGGGCGCATAGATTTACAATCATTTGTGCTTTTTTTCACTGCCTCTTATTGTGGAATGAAGAAAAGCAAAACATAGGCTGACGGTGGCATGAAATCATCGATGGACCGTAGGTAAATTGGTCAAGAATGACCTAAACTTTGCCTGGACCCTATCTGGCTTTGGGCAGTCTGCTGTTGAGATTCCTCTGGTTGGTCAGGTTGTTGAGCACGCAGTTGTTGGCTAGCGACGCCAGCTTGGAGTTGATGGCACCCTTCCTCTGCTCCCAACTGCTCTCATCTTCTTCTTCTGGCTCCTCGTCCTCATCCGCCTCGCTCTCCTCATCACTGCGCTCGTCACGCTCCACCTGTAGACAAAAGAAAATGGAGTCGTGCTGGTTTTAAATAAATAAATAAATAAATGAAAGTTATTTATACATGTCTAAGTGTGTGCCAGGAACTGAAGTGTACTATTGACAATCGCAATTGCCAGTGGCTATAAAATTAGGTGCACTTTAAAATGGAAAAAATAAAATAAAAATCTGTTGATGCTGAGAGTGGCATACATTCACCCAAATATTGTACGTCAACATTTTGTTTTTAACTACATTACATTTACATTTGCTTATTTTCATGAAGTGTGACAGTCTTGCGTTCTTCGAACAGATTCACTCAGCCACTGAACACAAAGGTGTGCTTGATTTATTTTGTATTTTGCTAAAAAATTTCACAAAAATTCATTGATGTGAATTAATTTTGTGAATTATTTAATAAACAAATATCAATCCAATTAAACAATTCTACATTATACATTTAAAAATACGAATTTCATTCATCATGTTACGCAATAATTATACTTACCTTTTAAACATTTAAAAAATGGTTTGCGTCTGGATGATGTCACTACAAAATTAGTGTTACAATAGTCTGATCGTAAAAATGCTGATCCTAAAGAATTAAGTCGGGTGATATACAGGAAGCATGTTTGAAAGGAACAATATTTGCTTAAACTAAATGAATTTGCCGATTTGGTAATTAACACTCTCACCTTTCCGTTGAACATAAACTTGCAGATCATTCGCAGGATAAGATAGGCCCAGAAGATGTGCAGAGCTTGCAGCACTAACAGGAGAGCGTTGAAAAAGTAATAACCAAAGAAGGGCTCGAAGAAGTCAAGAGATAACACCAACGTTGTGTGGATGATTCTGGAAAAAAAAACCAAAACAGTTTTGCATCATTCCATATACATTTTGGACCAAAGCAATGAGATACACTTCTGGACTAAAATTTAATCCTTGGTAAAACAATATATTCTTCCAACATTGTGGGAAAAGTTTGGGGAAGGCCTTTAGCTGTGTCAGCGGTGCCAAGGTTATAATGAATAACTAAAACTAAAATTGAAGAAAAAAATTTGAATGAAATAAAATTGAATGAGAAAAACGGAGTGCTTTAAAAAAACTGACTATAATTATCGCGAAAATGTCCTTGGCTTTTGTCTTCGTCAATGAATTTCACACAGCTGAACAGAAAACCCAAAGTCAAAACAAAATAAAAACAAACTACAATGAAAAATCCCAAACTATGATAACCCTGGACTGTGCCCTAGTGAACAAAACTAAGTCCATGAAGGCATGTTTGAATAAGTTTGAGAACCCTGACCGCAATGCCATTAAAGCATTTGTGGATGAATTGTTGGGGGGAGGTGTCAAATTATAATAATTTCTTTCTCTTCTGCAAAGCACAACTAAAATTGCTGCATCTTTCTGAGGAGATTAGACCAGATTCATCTTGAGTCTATCTCTAGGTCTGTATTGTACTGCACCAAGGCGGCCAAAGTGCACACACTTGAAGGTCCAGCACAATGTCCATTGAAGTGAAGCAAAAAAAATGTGGCAAAAATAGCACAATGGAGCAGCACATTTTTCCACAATGTCGACATACCTACAAGGAAACACTACCAGCCGTGTAATCAGGAACACCAAAGAAAAGATGACAAATAGTGAGTCACACGTCTTGGTCCACTCAGCGTAGTGAAACATCTTGGCCGACTAAAAAAACAACAACAAAGCCGTATTAGCTTGTAATTGCACAGGGTGACATCACAAACTTGAAACACTGCCAGATGTTAGCGAGAACAGGTATAATTGCTTACAAAACCACACGATTTAGTCCAGACTCCAACATGTTATGTCTTTCATGTGACAACTGTTTTTAAGGCCGTGTGGACATGGGCAACCTTTACATTTAGTGTTTTAGCAATCCCATAATGACAATATATATCTACTCGCTGGAGGCCACATGGGCACCCATGATACTTCCTGGTTCATTACTTATAGCGGTGACTCCGTCCTTTTGTTACGAAGGGTGTCATCAAGTCAGAATTTTTTTGTTTTCAGATTTTTTCAGAATTGTAAATTTCCCCAGTGTGGGACAAATAAAGGATATCTAATCTTAATTTAAGACCAAAAGTCACAATAATACTAAACACAACAAGAAAAAAATCAACCTGTTTGTATATTACACCCTGTCCATATGCATTAATTTTGGTCAGGATCCACGGCCGGAGTGGGACTCCTTTTCAGACATTTATGTCTGAATTTTCGGGGGCTTGGAACGGATTAGGGCATTTACATGGAAAATACATCTCTCCTTACAAAAATTTCTAGTTACGAAATTTTTTCCAGAACGAATTAATTTCGGAAGTAGAGGTACCACTGTACTGTATTTTATTTTTTTAATTGTAAAACAAATGTTACAGCGGCACACATTATGAGGCGCTCGTGTCTTTTGCATGCTGTCAAGTGAATTCCGCCAAATAAAAATCAGAAATAATGCACCTCTTGTTTCATGAGGCTTTCATAACCACAGAAGGGCTTTTGTAACACAGGAGCATGTGGAAATTCTTCTCTAATGAAACCGCAATGCATTTTTTCAAGTCAGGTATGCTTGTGATGTCATTAAAAAAATTGTTACATTTCGAAAAGAGAATGCGCTCGCAATCATGGCACACCCTTCGACAAGCCTCCTTCAAGGTCTTGCTTTGAAGGGCGGCATAGTTTGCTCCTTATCTTTAGTAAATCAAACATGGAATTGACAGTTATGTGGCAGTAAATGAAAGAGAGACGTGCTGTGGAGGGGGGGAGAATACTGTACATTGTATTCATAATACATTTGTCTATATGTTTTTTTTAAACTGAATTTGAGGTGATGATGGTACATCAGACATTAGCCAACAATTTTAGATTTTTCGCCCTTTGACCACAACAGGCATCCTCAAGTTAAGGCATTTTTCGAGGATATGAACGCTGCGTGGAGTAAGAATATGCGGCACAAGAAGGCACGCTCTGTTTTCTGGTTTTCATTTGATTGTTTTTTTATTTGTGGCCTATAAGTGGTTTTCATACAAACATGTACTGTCCGTATTAAGGTTACACTGGGCGCCATCGTGCGGCATGAAGGAATGCTCAGTAACCAGCGTACTTGGTGGTTTTCATTTCATTCTTTCAGGTTCATATCCTTGTAGCGTTTGCCATACAGTTATGATGATTCTACGACTGCATTAACGTCGGCAGGACGGGGTATTCGTCAGGAGTCAGTTTCCGAATGATTTCCTTCAAACCGTAGGGATTCATGTTCTCAGCCCTTCTGACATTATTGATTTGAGATCACAGCAGGACAAAGCGGGGGTCAAAGGTTCAACTTTCTCCAACCTCAGTTTTTCCCCCAAAAAATCAGATCCAAGTTTACAATCAAACTTTGAACAGATTTTGATCAGTGCTAGCGAAGAATCACACAAGCTGTACCTCGAGCAGGAAGTCGGACGAGTCGTGCACCAGCATCACAAGTGTGCCAATTCTCACGTAGTTGGCGCAGTAGGAGAAACCAATGAGAAAGATGGTGGCAATGTGATGAATGACCTGCTCCTTGAAATCCTGAAGTACACACATATTTGAAAAGATTATGCAGTATCTGGAAGATTTCGACCAAGATAATAGCAGAAGCTGCAAAACTGCAGTCCACTAACTTAAAATATTAAATCTAACAGATTTACATCAGATGTCAAAAGTTTGAAAAAGCATGTTAACAGCTATTCTTTTGGGGAGGTGTACAAATAATAATTCATTTTTTTGTGCATGTACTTTATGTGAAAACACATTAAAATTGTATCCAAACCCAAATTTGAATCATTTATTGGTGGATGGAATTAAAAATTAAAAGTTGTGATGTAACATTCTATAATTGGTAGCGCAAGAAGAAAGCATACAAGAGGAAATACAGAACCAAGTCTTTTTTTTTTTTTGTGACAACTTTGACTAAACATGTGCCCACTCAGATTGCATCCTTTCGAATTGCAACGCGAAACTACTTCAAGGTTTTGTGTGTGTGTGTGTGTGTGTGTGTGTGTGTGTGTGTGTGTGTGTGTGTGTGTGTGTGTGTGTGTGTGTGTGTGTGTGTGTAAACTCGGCTTACTTTTCTCTTCACGTCCACAGAAACACAGAGAAGCAGTGACAGATAGAAGCCAAGTTCCAGGGTGTAATACCAGCTATGGGCATTGGTGACAACCTAAAACAGAAAACTACATTTTGAACAGAATTATAATAGTTTGGGATTTTTTGTTTTTAGAACAGTTTATTTTTTTATTTTCCAGAAAATGCTTTGTTTCTTAAATTTCACTAACATTGTGTAATAACATAAACTGCAATTTTCAAACAACTGATTGACCTTCCTTATTCTGTATATCAATCCCGAAATAACTAAATTTAAAATAAACATTGAAAGCTCAAATATATTATTAATTGATCTTTTTAAGCATTTTGTTTTTATTTTGTCAACGAATGTTTTTTTTCAGTTTTAGTAGTCAGTTTAGTTTTTATTCGTTTTAGTCATCCTCACGCCCACAGCTCAAATCTATAAAAACTTCATTCCGCTCATGTATGATATACAGAACATTCCAAGTGGCAATCTGCTCTTAAATCTCAATAAGAGTCAGGTGACAGTCTGGAACACTTTAGACAAAGAGAGGAAGCCCACGGAGGCAACAGAAACCCAGAAAGGAAAAGGCGGAACAATATAAGTAGTAGCAGCACAATGTTATTCACCCAGCTACTACGAATCTGTTTTCGATGTTGTCGGTTTGAGGCCATGAACCCTGAAGCAAAGGCTGGCTTCTCTGAAGGAATGCCGACTTGCAGGCATGCCTAACCGTCACCGGAGTTAATAGCTTTCCAAACCAGTGCTAACAACAGCACGAGTCGGTGGGCGGAGGTTGAAGTGATCTTGAAAAATCTGTCACAGTTTGAGTTACCTCAGGGACTGCTACTCAGTGTTGGAATGGAGTACAAACTCATCATTACGCTGCTTCGTTGTAATTTTCACGTATCTTTACTTTTTTATTTGCATGGCTGGAAACTTTCACTTCTATTCCACTACGTTTCCGAAAGAAAATGAAAACTTTATTTGGAATATGTTTCCCCTGTCTTTGTGACTCATGACTACAAAATAAAATCCAAAGAAACTGTTTGTTGACATAATGCCTGAACCGCATTGTACCAAGAATAGTCCTAGCTGTACCGATGTAGCCGGAATACCGATACAGGAGCTCAAGAAAATGAGACGCAGGTATTACGAAAATCTTCATGTGGGCACAGTTTGTGTGTGTGTGTGTGTGTGTGTGTGTGTGTGTGTGTGTGTGTGTGTGTGTGTGTGTGTGTGTGTGTGTGTGTGTGTCTTTAACTCTCTCTGCCTCTCCTCTTGGCTTGAGGACAACAGATGCCAGCGTTACGTAATGCCAATGCTAACTTGCGCTCATGAGCCAAGACGCAGACCTTTAACTACCCCATGAAACAAACTCTATCAAACAAATATAATAAATAAAAACCTCTAAGCAAAAATCTAATGACATGCTTTTTTCGAATGATTTTATTGCACTTCCAATATGTATTTAATAAAAGTAAACATCAGGAAGTTACAGTAGAGCAAATGTCCGATACTCTACTTTACATTTTGACTTTCAGGTCTAACAGCAAAGTTCTTTTAGCTTTTAACACAATCTGACTTTTTTTTTTTAACTCAAGTATCATGTTCAGGGAGATAATACAAGGCTGGTAATACCTTTTTTTAAAGTAGGTTCATCCGTTTTCTATCTTGGTGATATTGTTCAGGGTCAAACAAGGTTTGTAATCAATCGGCACATAAGTTCTGTTTGAAAATTTGGTTAATTTTTAAAAAATGCAAAAGTAACCCCAAAGAAGACTAGTAGGCGTAATCTTAACACACAAGAAAATCTATCCTGTGAAAAAAACTGAATCGCTCCTTGCTTTCTTACCTGTTTAGGAAAATCCCGCCAACACTCTCTCTGATCCCAAAACCATGGAGACTGGAAGGGCCCAAAAACAACAGCTTAGTTATATCAACAAAGTCACTTGGCTGAATACAGTCTAACACTACTACAAAATGCAACCACAATAATAACATACACAGAAAGTACCACAAGCATACACAGTGAAAGTTTCATTAACGTTAATAGCTTGGCCAAAACGTCTTGAATTCCTTTCCAATGGTATGTGACAAAGGGAAGCGTTAATTTCCCCCCATCCCCCCCCCAAAAAAAAACCTCAACAAACAACAGACTTACATCGAGCAAAGAGCCGAGCCCTGCTGTGAAAGCCGCGAGGTAGAAGACAAAGCGCCAACTGCAATGCATGAAAAGGAAGCAATTTACAGAACACTCTTAGGAAGTATTCACACAATGGCAGAGTTGTTATTATTTGCCATTATATACCACCACTAATTCAAAAGAAAATAATCAAGATGTGCGGATGTTCAACAATGAATTGCTTTAGCAAAGTTGCATGTTCACACATCATCGGGTTTCATTTTCTTAAAACAAGTTGAAGAGGTTTCGCAAACGTATTCTCCACTTGGCAGTCAGTAACATCAGGTCAATTTTCAGAGACTCAAAGGTATTGGGAAATAGAAAAGGTATTTGCAAATAGAAATGCAGAAATGGAAATGTGAATGTCATTTTTAACATCATTGACCAATCCATTTTCTATAAGCGCTCATCCACCATAGCCGAAAGCTTTCCTCGTTGACACAGGCGGGGTACATACACCTTGTATTGGTCTCCAGCCAATCGTAGGGTTCGTACGGACAAAGTAACCGTTCACGCTCACGTTGACAACTACAGGGTCTTTATTGAACCTGATTTGCATATTTTTAGAAAATGGGAGGAAACCGGCAGTCAACCTTATTATAGTTATCGAAAACCAAATGTAATAACTATAACTAAAGTTGAAAAAACATTTTTGGTAATGAAATGAAATAAAAATGAGAGGGCTATAAAAAAAAAAACTGGTAATGAAATGAAATAAAAATGAGAGGGCTACAAAAAAAAATCTCTCAGCTAATATGCCAGAGCTGTCAGGGTTCATGTTAAATATATTTACAGTGTATTTGGTATTACTCAAAGGTGGAATGGTAGTTTGCTTAACTTTATTAGGTAATACTGAGCGCTCTTATTTTTCTCTTGCCTTTTTAATGGTCAATACGTGTATATAAAAAAAAATAAAACTAATACTAAAACTAAACTAAAAATGAGCAGTTTTGCAAAAAAACAAACAAAAAAAAAAACAATTTTAAAATTAATGAAAACAAACACACCAAAGAAACTAATGAAAACTAACTGAATTGGTCAATTGGAAAGTCAAAACAAAGTAAAAACGAACTTGAATGAAAAACGATTATAACCCTGTTGGGAGTATCTGGAGAAAGCAACGCAAATGTTTCTTATGTCAGTTTTTGGATTGCTTGATTTGAGTCACAGAAGATAGTTTGTTTGAGACTTACGAGGCCTCGCAGAACTTTTTGGTGTTGGTGGGTCGGTCCTGGTTTCTCCTGTGCCTGAACCAGCTTTGAATTTTTGACTGGGAGAGTCCACAAAGCTTTCCCAAGCTCGCCAACTCACTCTGAGTGGAACACAAAGACACCATTAAAACATTCGGCTTTACACTGCTGCAGGCTCTCTCTGTGCGAGAGGCAACATTTATTCAACCTTGTTGGGTGACATTTGTGTTGCCATTTCATGAGAGGAAATGCAAATTAGCTTGTGGTGTTTATTCACGCTGCTGTATTTTCCTTGCTGACAAGTAGAAGAGTTGACTTTCCTTGAATGCAACAGTCATGTGTCACGGACTTTTGTTAACGTTGTTTAATACTTAAAAGATATCAACACTAATCACAAACCTATTGTAAAATTATTTAAAAACAAATGACAAATAACAAAAAACTCGGTGATGCAGTCGTACCAAGAATTACTGTATTTTCACTTTGAGTGTAATTTATGCATCTCTCCTAATTCTTCTGACGCATAGGGATGGGATGAATAAATGACGTGATAAGGAATTGATTCACGAGAAATAATCGAAAATGGAATGGGAATCGTACAAATGTTATCAATTCCCATCCCTCCTGATGGGTGCAACAAAAACACAAGAGGTGCTGCTCCACTCTATTTGCGAGCACGCAACATAAAGCAACCACACAAAGACATTCACGCCTGTCCGTACATGAACGCCGATGACGAAACATCAGGCGAAACTGTAGACGAGGGTGGAGGTGTGATCCTGGAATGAAACTGTCTGAAACTCGTCTGTTCACAGGTGATGGGGGGAAAAAAATGGTCTTGGTTTAAACCCGACAATTTTCCAGAAATTTGTTGTTATTGTTTGTTTGTTTTTTTATGTGCCATTTTAATTATTAGAGGTTTATGCAGTGCAAGTCCAAAATCATTCAAGGACTGATTGCACTCCTGTGACGACACATCAGTCATCATGGCTTTTCTCAGGGGGACTTTTTCAAACAGGTATTTGTTGAGAAACAGGTGCCCAGTAGTCATCCAAATTGGTTCCAGTGCAACCGGCAGTTGTTTCGCAACCTCCATTCACGAATAAAGCAGTTAAAACAAACAATATAGACATTTAGCTTGACAACAAAATATCGAAACGTTTAGCATGCTTATGCATTTGATCATTTTCCACTGAGGCATGATTTTGGATCTGTATAAATGGGATGGCGATCAAACGAGGCAGTATTAATGAGGCTCTTTAGTTCAGAGTTTCTCAATGTTTACCATCAAAGAAAAGTGTCACCCAAAGTATGAATACTGAAATAATGACAATTTCAATTTACTCACAAATGTAGTTACTAATTGTGCAAGCCGGGCCTGTCGTCGAACACAAAGCTGACATACGCACAGGAAGCCGTCATTCATTTTTTTGTATGAAAGTAAACATGTGGCTACACAGGTTTATCAGACCTTCCATCTAATGGTATCAAATTGTTCTGCCTGTCACTATATATATAAATATATATAGATCGAAAGAGAGAGAGAGAGAGAGAGAGAGAGAGAGCTGGTCACACTGGCTACACAGGTTTATCATACCTTCCATCTAATGGTATCAAATTGTTCTGCCTGTCACTATATATATATATAAATATATATAGACCGAAAGAGAGAGAGAGAGAGCTGGTCACACCCAGGGCGATTGTGATGCAGTATTGTTTAGTAAAACACAACCCCTCCCCACTCACCAAAGTAAAATTCCCACTGTGACCTTTCGGAGGATCCAATTTAGATAATAAAGGTCACACAGAACATCCCATTCGGCTGCATCCGCCCTTTGCACATGCTCGCTACCCGAAGCATATCGTCAAAAAGGCGGAAGACTGAACAGAAACACGTACTTGCGACGGCTGACGGTTGTACTGTTTGTAGAAGTTCTCCAGTTTTGGAATAGGAGCGGCTCGAATCCTAATCCGATCCTTCACACCTAAATGTTTGCTTAAAGGGACAGCCATGACCCTGGCGACACAGGAAAGAGAATACAAGAGGATGAATTACTGAGCCGCATTTAATATTCGTGTCATCAACACCTGTCCAACGCGACACCACATCAGCAATGTAACTTTTAGCGGCAACCAGATAGGTCATGATGCTGGTCCCGTGTGACACATTGTGACTTTGTCTTTGCTGATACGGCATCAAGAAGACACTTGATCCGCATGCGTGTGTCCCGCACAGTGACATGGAAAAAAGAAGGACAATGTTGTTGTATTCACAAGAGAGCTTGATTACTGCCCGTGTGTGTAACACTATCTCAGAAATAATCATCCCGAAACAAGTGGAGAGGGAGAGGTCAGAAAGAATGAGAAGGTCAGGAAAACACGAACACACGCACACACACACACACACACACACACACACACACTGGTTATAGGCAACGTGAAGCACACATTCAAACATAAAGACACAAACAGTCAAGGTATGATGGACATCTACTATATTATGACAGATTGATCAGTGGCAGGCCATGACTTGGTATCCGCCCCTTCAATGGGGATTCGTACAACTTCATCCACTTCTTCCAAGTCACTGTCATGTTGAATCATCATGTATATATCGTGTCGAATACAGATACCATTAATTACATGCAAAAATTGCAATAAAACAGCATGCAACTGTGCCGTGTGCATCATCTGGCGCAGTTCAGGCCCAAAATTTATCTAAAAACATGATATGAATACAAAATATTTAAATCATATTCACCAGAGATTCAGATTATTGATGATGTATTAATGTGTGCAGATGGCTACAGATGTGTTTTGCTCGTGGAAGTTTTCAGAGGATGGAAAAATACTTACGTTAGCTAGCCAGCCCTCTGAGGCGAATTTGAAAACAGATTGCTCCAGAAACAGTTCGCTTTAGAGGTGCAAAATATACTAAAGTATTGTTCATCAAATTAGTAGATAAATGTTTTTTTTTTAATTGCAGCCTTAGTCCCATTGTCACATTTCACACTACTTATATTGTTTTAGCTACAATGGGCCGGCACAATGCATCCTCAAGGCCCTTGAGAGATTTGATTGGCAAAGCAACAGTATGGGCTCTGTATTCATAGACAGCGAGCGTAAAAACTGGCCGCTCCTGACAATTTGGTGGCTGAAAGTAGACAAAACTTGAAAACTTCTGGAACCACATCGAACTATTGCCGTATGTAGTGTAACGTGATTTGATGAGATCTGACTGGACGAAAAAAAAAAAAAAAAAAAAACATCCGCTAGCATGTATTCGAAGCACTGCAGTCAAGTGAAGCACGACGAATACAGCACACTATTGGGAATAAATAATTACAATTCCATGAAACAAACATCAGAATTAGTCAATGTAGGTTGGTGCTTCTGGTAGGTTTTTGGCTTACTGAGGAGACCTTGCTGGCCTTGATGGCTCATCAGTGTCACTGACACACACCGGTACAGCATAGGCATCTGGAGTTAACAAAGGATTACACATGGATAACGCCAAACCTGTTGTACTACTGGTCAACGTTAAGGCCGATAAAACTATCTCGGAGATAAAGCGTGTCAAACAGGATCCCTATCTGTACATCATCACATCACGACGGTGTTCTTCTGTCACCGTTGACTGCTGCTTAATGTTGACGGGCTGTCAGCCAGCCAAACCAGTCGAGTGTGCGCCATAACCTTTTCCTGAACCACTGTATTTCAAAAAACATGTAGAGTTGGGCTATGTTTTCGTCGACGCTGGGCGTAAAAACTGGCACATCTTCATTTTTGTGTGGGGCAAATCTAGTTTACTGTGTTGGGGAGTTTGGTAGACCGTGCCGTGCCATGGTGGGTGTTCCAGCAAATCGAGGGCATTTTCTTTGACACGCCCCCAGTGCACCTGACAATTTGGTGTCTGAAAATAGACTTAGACCTTTGACCATTTTAGAGCAGTTCTAACGGACACAGACAGGAATGATCGAGGTGGAAGGCGGTCTCCAAATACCCACTTTTACAGTGATGATCTGTGATCACTTTACATCATCTACCGTGGAGGTCTGCGTGCATGTCAAAGACTGCGTGCGCCTCTCCTGGGCTGAATTTAAAGGTAATGGGAGAAGCCGCTTCCATTGGCCTCTCCCACAATGGCGCAAGCGCCCCTTTCTAATTTGTCAGTTTATGAAAACATCAAAGGGACAAAATCGCCACCCACACACATCGTTATCCTACGCTTAGCGCTAGACTTGTGCCAGGCACGAAAATATGTATCAAAGGGACAATATCGCCACCCACACACAGAGCTTAGCGCTAGACTTGTGCCAGGCACGAAAATATGGCTCATATTGTTTATTTAAATGAGTTATACGGGTGTTCATATTGCAGAGTTGTGAGCTGTCATGGTCAGGAAGGCCTCCTCTCATGACCTAAAAACACGATGAGAAGCACTGACTGACATTTAGAACCTTATTCTAAGAATAGTAAATAAATGAAATTGTATTCATTTATGACCAACATTCTATTCTCTACATGGATAATGTCACACCTTTTTTTTTTTGTCCAATCGGATTTCCTCCTCTCTGTGCATCATTGTTAATCTAATCTGCCCAACGTTTTAGAATCAGTAGTGCTGGTCGATGTAACTTTGCTATATTAGCAATGGGATTGTTTATCTAACACGCTAGATTTCAAATTCATCCGACAGTGTTTTCGCTGGCCTCAAACAATGTCCTAATTGTTCAGTTTTTTTGCAATCTGTACACATCAATATATTTAATAATCAGCATTCCTGGTGAGTATGAGTGAGTATTTTACTCTATTTCTAATAGTTCATGTTACATGTTATTAGAAAAAATATAGATTCTAAAGTGCTCCAGATTATGTACATGGCACAGTGGCATGTTGTTTTATTGTGTTAATGAAAACTGTAGCATGGATGGCTTTTATAATCACAACGTGATAGTGGTGGTACAAATAGGTGAATTAGTTTAAGTAGTCCCCGCTGAAGACATAATTCTCGCACAACAGCAGTAATAATGATGCGAAAATATCTGCTCTGTTGTGTGCAGTGCATTTGAAACCTTAAAATGATCAGCAATGATCCACCCATTATTTTCTTTCTTGGTCAATACTCAGCTCCATCTATAAACAGTGAAAGCAGCACAAACTGGGAATATTTGACGTGCCGCTTGTAACTGCTGACACTGTCAACCCTAAACCCCTTTCGAAAGCTTTCTTTTGAATATTTTGCAGAATGACGCATACGCTAATTGTTTCAGCTCCTCTAAAAATCATCAGCCATTTCTTTGTAAGTCTTGAATGTGTAAACATAGGCTTTAAAGTGTTCTGTTGAATTTTTCTCAAGGAGCATATTCATTGTATGGTACAATACTGTACATGACGTAGGACCAGCAAATTCCCTCTCCTCATCACCACGGCATTGCTTGCCTTTGTCACTTCTTGCTCCACAGGGAATTGTGTAATTAGCACAACTGGGGATATGAAAGCTTGTGGTGGATCAGCACGGAACCATGAACCACAATTGATTTAAAGCATCTACGGTATATGAGCTACAATATAACCCCAAAAAAAAAACACAACCCCAGCTTTTACTAACTTAAGCTGCACTCACTTTATGTTCTGTATGGTCAAATGCTTTTAGAGGGGAACATGCAGTCATCAGCTAAAAGTGTCTACTCACGATCTCAGCCTCCCCCTGCATGTCTGAAGAACACCCCCCCAACCACTCACACACTACTGCAGCAAACCAGCCAGCGTGACGGGCACAAGTTGAAGGAGAAACTCGACACCCCCATAATTATACACCCAGCGGCCACAACATGGTACACCGCATCTAATGGGATTCAATTTTAATGTTGCATCAAACATTTTGCCTATACATTGAACAGGATGCATCTTCAATGATATTTTCGGGGTGTGTGAGCTACTCCCATAAACTCAAGCACGTATCATTCATAAAATATGAAACTTTTTGTTGAAGAAGATAACGCGTGTAATCGTGAATATGCTAACCAGTATTGAACCTTTTGACCTATTATGGCAACCAAACTTAAGCTTGTTTTTGGCATTGGGGAAAAGTTTATAGCATCAGATTTTTTTGTGGCATTGCATGTCAATCTATTCATTTACATACATGCATAACAGGTAGGAAGTCTAAAATGACACTAAGCAAGGTAGAAATTAAAAGCATGTATTAAAATCATCCATGCATATGCATTTCATCATTGGGATTCCAGCTCACTTTTCGGCAGATTATTTCAAACAGATTATACACTAATGAGAGGTACTCTTGACAAAGTTTAGTAGTTTGCGGTCGTATGAAGACAGAACAGGACATGAGTTATGGGAATTCAGATTGAGCGGACTGAGGTGGGATGACTAAGATTGACATGAGGGAAATTCATTCATTCAATTAATCCTTCACACAAGCCATATGATTACTTTTGAGGTTGTAGTTTTTACTGGTGTACAACTGTACAACAACAACTGAGACCGCCTCATAAAGCTAAGGTAACTAACAGCTGGCGTTACACAAATGGAGGAAGGCCGGCAGAGTGACAGACCGTGATGCAAATGTGAGATCCAAGCAGGAAGTCTCTCACTCACCTCTCAAAAACATATCTCAATGCTATGAAAGCAAAGGCCACTGGCAAAGTGTACACGAGGTCTCTGGGTAGTGGATAGTGACCGTCGCTCATATCCATGTCCTGCCAGTGGATGCCGGGAGGCAGCCAGTACCTGTCTTGCCACAGCCACTCATTAAGCAGGGCCTCCATCCTGCGGGCAAAGTCAAGCACTCTTTTAATATGACCAGTTTAAACGGATGTCAATCACATTCTTAATCTTCCTACATCACAATGCGAGACACACAGCATTAGTCTTTGCCAAAAAAAATGAGCACACGTACAACAATTAATGCACATGCTGATGAGTTGTAATAGGTTCCGACAGTCACAATTGATTGACTGACGTGTTGAGTCTACGAAGAAGCACCACTCTGCATCCCCTAGCAAGTCATACCACAACGCCACTTCATCTGTACCGGAGAAACGAGCTTGTATTGAAAAGACACAACGTGCTTATTATTATTAATATTTGTAATAATAATCAACGTCATGATAAGAATTCGAGAAAAGAGCAGAATACGCCGCCCCCCCCCCCCCCCCCCCCCCCACACACACAAACGCACGCGTATAACACAAAAATTTCACACTGCCTTGTGAACAAGTCCGCCTTGTGTTTCTATTTTTGTTTTTATGACATCAAACGTGTCTATTTTATTCATGCAGAAGAAACCCAAATGCAAAGTCTCTCACCTGCTCGCGCTCCTGAGAAGGATGACAAGCGCGCAGTCAAATTGACAGAGGAAGAGCCTTGAGAGGGCTCACGCTGGGGGCGGTGCTAAAAACGTCATCAGCGTCACTCGAAGCAGAGGAGAAGGGGGGCGCCGGAAGTGGTGGCGGGGGGGATAAAATTCAGCCCATGGGAGAGG